TGACAATCTTCTTTTGTTTAAAACGCAAGGCAATGCACATAGAGTTCTCTTTTTTAAAATTTCTTTCCATAAAAAACGCCTTGTGTAGAAAGTTGGCAGAGAGATTGACTGGCCTCAAACTATCAAGTGAGTTTATGTGGTTGAGATGGACTAGAACTTTGATCCCCAGCTTCTAACCCAACACTTTAATCATTACAACACAACTTCAACTCATCTGAAGGACACCATATTGGAGAAGGCTACATGTTAGTGGCAAACTGGATGCTGCATTTAGTATAGGAGCATTGTCAGCATTTTGGTTTTAATTGCTTATCTATGACTAGCAGTCAACAAAATACAGGTGCAGCTGATACACTATTTATTTTTGTTTATATGAGAGACATGTCATATATGTGAGCTTAATCCTCTTTCTATCTTTAGTATTTTTTTCTTGCTAAACCAGTCTTGCAAGATTAAAAAAAGATATAGGTCTGATGCTATATTTCTATTTGATTGAATGAGTGATTGGTTTTGCAGCTTATCACATTAATCTTGTGGCTATAACTTTGTTTTTAGTTCACAAAGCATCCGAGTGCTTTTTGCTGTATGTTTCTACCACTGTCTAAGCTAATCTGCATTCATATCAGTCCAGCTTTATGCACATTAATGGATAAAACTGCATTTCTTTCAAATTGAATTGAATGATGCTGTTTCATGTTTAGGTTGCAAATTAGAGATAAAGACAACAACTAAGTTCAAATTAACATTTTAGTATAATTTCAGTTATAGTGTATAATTTTTGTTGAAATGAATTTTACTTCATTTGCTATTATCTACTATCTGTCAGGGTTCTTTTCTTACTCAGACTTACTTCCAGATGGATGATTCATCCATCCATCCATCCATCCATCCATCCATTTACCCATTTGCCGCCAGCATGCCTCCTGTATAGACAGGTACACATGGATTGCTGAAGAACATTCAATATAAAGATAAAGAAGCATATTACTAGCAGTTAAGGCAAGGGTGAGCAATCAATTATCCCAAGGGGCACATGAGAAACTGGGTCTGCTATATCGGGCTGCTGATGCCCTGCCCCCACCCCATATGCCCTGCTGCCGACACTGAGATCCCACCCTTTGCTGCCACTGCTGCAGGCAGGACAGGAACAGCCGAAGGGCTGGATGTGGCCCACAGACTGTAAAAAGCCCATATCTGAATTCGGACATTTTCTGAGGAACTCACCTAGCACATGTGAGTTTTTCTTCTCTGGAGAAAAGCAAAGCAAATGTTATTCCTGGCTTTTCTGTAGGAAGTAACAGGAAGAGCTGAGCATAATTCTGCCTCTCTTTATAAAGGAAAAAGAAAGCAAGTAGAATGCAGATCCCAAATTATTTTCTGTTCCTGCAAATGACTGTTGTGGGATCTTAAAATCTACAGTTATTTATCTCATGTACCTGAAGTGAAAAAACAAACCCTTGCTTGGTCCATCCATTGCAGACTTTGAGCCTGAGACACAGACACTTATTGATAAACGCAGTTTCTATAGTGCCAAGGCTGTGAACTACATGGAAGTTTGGAAATACTAAATACTTTAGCAGTAATTTGCATTTGAAAAATTATATTTTGCCTTATTTCCATAGAATAATTCATTCATTTCTTATTCAGCTATGTAGTAACCTTCCAACCTTGAAAAACATTCCTTGCATGTGGTCATTAATCTTTATACAATATAGCAAACTGATGCAGTTCCTTTGAGACACTGGCCTGGTTCATATAATAGCTGTACACTGTTTGTTTGACTTTAGTAGTGAGCATGTTATATGAATGTGCAATCAACTGTGGTTTAGAAATCTGCTTTATATCTTGTTATGTAATTTAGTTTATAATGTAATATAATTCAGTAAATCATGATGGAACAAACTGTGGGACATGCAAAGCATGAATCCAGTTAGCATGGGCCGGTGGAGATCAACAGCAGACTACTGTATTACAAATTTTGTCTGCAAATAAAACGACACAATATTTCTTTACTGCTATAAATGCTGAAGCCAACCAAAGCAGAATTGTGAAATATAGTCAATCTCCACAATAATATAATCAAATTCTGCAAATCCTGAAACTGTAATATAAGATTTATTTGTCCGCAGTAGAATCAAAACCATAACAACTTTTAAACTCTGAGGTAAAATTGAAGTATTGAGTACCCCTCACAATTCTTTCAATCTTAACTCATCACCAAGGACTAAAATTAAAAGAAAAACAAATTCTGGCATTCAAATTGCCACTGACATCAATTTATTTATGTGTGTGTGTGTGTTTGTGTCAAAGGAGTTGAACTTGACTCTGATAATTTCAGGGGTCCAGCCATTTAGTATTCTTTACAACAGTATGGAAATTATCTACCATGGGATGATTTTTTAAAAAACTTCTATAACTCTGGGATTCCCTGGAGGTAGTACCAAGACTACTGAGTTCCTCAGCCACTTTGACTGATTGTATGACTGCACTGATCCAAATATTTGCAATTTTAGAATGACAGTTATATGTCCTGACAGTTATGATATAAAGCAAGCATAAGGGAGGGATTCTAACTTTAAAAAAAATTAAATAGAGCTTGTCTTAAATAGCTACTAAAAAGAAGAAGCTATCTAATCCAACTCTGTTGGATTTCACTAGTCAGTCTTGGGTTTCATTTCCATAACAAACAAAATCAACTTTAAGCATGACAGAACACGTTCAACAACTCCCTAATGTTCTGCTGTCCCATTTTCTTGTGATTGCTTCCCAACATCAAGCCTCCACAAATCTATTTGCCAAGTGTCAGAACAAAAGAGAAATCCTTCTTCAATTCTAAACTTGGAAATGTGAGGCTGAATTTGCAGTAGAGTTGAGGATACAAAAATTCTCTCCAGAAAGATGGAGAAGTATGTTTTTAACTTGAAATTTCAATCGTGCTGAACTTTGGAACAGATAGAAATCACTATCAGTGAAAGATGAACACTAAGGGAGATTATGAGAGGCCCACTTCCTTTCTCAATGATTCTGCTCATGCAGAGCATTATGGGAATGATCAATGACAACTGTCTCTTATAGCAGCCTAGAAAGCCTAGATTGTGGATTCCTGCCAATCCTACTGTTACTTTGGGGAGGAAATGCAATTATTCTTCAGCAGATATTTCACTTGTAATGGTGAAAGTGTAACGTTTATTACTGTTCTCAGCGTATGCTCCAGAGTTACCTAACGTTCAGAATGGAACAATTACTTCCTTTTTTCCTCCTCTTACAACATCCTCAGTAATGGGTGGAGTCTCATTCGGCTCACTTTCACAAATTGTAGGGATTTTTTTAAATAGTACATACAAGCAGCTTAAGGGAAAGCAGACAGTGGAAGAGGCCCCCTGATAACTATTTTCTCCTGCTTCTTCTCTTTAGGTTGTGTACAAATAATTTGTTCTTCCCAAAATTCTGCCATTTTGAAAAAGATTCCAAAAGTAGAAATAGAAGACTTGTGTATTTTTGCCAAAATACAGAATACAAATTAAGTTTGTTGACACCCAGCCATTACTGAAACATCACCAATAGAAAAAAGTATACAATTAATAGTTGGACCCATCTTATGTTTTTAAAGCTTAATTTCAATAAAAACTATTTTTTTAAAAAAGTTAGATCTCCAGCTACCATCCATGCCTTTTTCTACAACTACAAATATGTATAGAAATCCAGCAACTGAATTAGCATGAATTAGGGTTATGAATTATAACATTTTACCGATGAGAGAATAGCATCCGTGCACCGCTGGACACCCAGTACAGAATAGGCAACCTCCATCTACAAAATATTGCAGCCAATGTACCAAATAGGACAAAGATGGGTCTTCTAGCCAAGCAATAGTGATCCCTCCTCCAGGCAAAACCAATCTGCCACATATTGATTTTCCATATTTCTAATCTGGTGTTTAGGATGATGGGAATCAGTGTCCAAAAACTCTGGCTAGTACCTGCTTGGAGGTAATCAGTAACAGATAAAAGGAAGCTTTCTCTCCTTCGGGCCTTGTCTGCATAAGGTAGTCATACCACACCTCTTTTTTCTTTTTTAACCGAGGGAAGCCAGTAGAACTTTTAAATGTCAAGCCCAAACATATTTAACTTCTGGGAGATTGTCTTTGGGGGAAAGTGGGCCGAACGTGCCATACATTCTCACAAGCAAACCAAACTTGCCGAACATGAACACAGGCTAATGCAACCCCTGGGCCAGAGCAATGTCTAGTTTTTCTACACGAATTCTCTGCGTTTCTGAAATAAGGGCCCAGGGAAGCCTGGGGGAGAAGCTCACTCCTTCGTGGGGACAGCCGGTTAAGTCAAAGAGCTTGGGAAGGAGACACAGAAATTAATCCAAGTTCCTTTAACTGACTCTAACGCGAGACAACAAAATGATAGGCTCAGGCTCCGTGAAACCGGTTAGGGAGGCTAAGGGCAGGCAGGGCTCATTGCCTCAGAACCTGGAGCTGCTTCCATGCCCAGGCCCGGGTCTTCGGCTTCGCAACGCCGTCTGCCTGGTCGTCCCCCATGCGCTTTGGACGCACAAACGCGCCCGTGTTCTCTAATTGACCACGGACGGCTTTCGCGGGAGAAGAAAAAGCGGGTCCCCGGCCGCGTAGGGTTCCCCGCTCTCGCAAGCGCAGCCGGAACCCGAGGCGAGCCAGCGCCAGGGACGGGTGGCCTAGTGGCTCCAAGCGCCGTCCCCGCGCCGCAGCCACGCCTCGCCCAGCGCCCCGCAGCGGCGGGAAAGAGTCAGGCGCCCCCGGTGGTGCCCAGCGTCGCCTCCTATAACCACGCCGCCAGCCAGGGACGAAGGGCAGCGGCGGGCAGAGGAGCCGAGGGGCAGTCCTCACCCCGCCAGCCGTCGCCGCAATGGCGACAGGCGGAGACAAAACCCGGGGCAGGGAAGGAGGAAGAGAAGAAGACGCTGCCTCTCGCCGAGACCCTCCCGCTCTCCCCCCAAGCCGCCCCGCCGCTCACCGTCCGCGGGTCCCTCCTCGGCGCCCCCACACGCCTTCGCCACTCGGGACTCCTCCGTCTCTATGGGCGACCGGAGCTGGTCGACCTCTCACCCGCTCCTCCTCCTTTCCTCCTCCGCGGCTGGCTCCGCCTGGCCCCGGGCGGGGAAGGCGACAGGGCTTCCTGGACCGCCGCCGCCGCCGCCGCCGAGCTCCTTTCGCCCGCTCGCCCTGCCCAGCCGTGAGAGGCTTCCTTTCTGCTCGCCCGCGGCCGGCAGGTTGGCTCCGCGCCTCGTGGAGGCCAAGTGCCAGGTTGGGCTGGCGAGGCGGGCGCAGTTGCTCGGCTCGGCTCCGGTTTTCTACAACGCCGAGCGGTTGGGCGTGGAAGGTTCGCCCCGACGGGAGGCTGCGGTTCCGGGCGGCGCTTCGGGTTCCAGGCAGGCTGGGAAGGATCTTGATCGCTCGGTCGTCTGGCTAAGACAAGCCGGTAGCTCCCGGGAGGGACTCTGTTGACTATGTGCCTTTTAAGTGGTTTTCGACTATTAAGGAGTAGATAGATCTCTACAGGAGGCTTAGAGACTCAGGAGGCCAAGTCCTGTCCCTCCAGTTGCTCTTCGGAGAATATGAATTTAGCCCTCGTACGGCGTCCCAGGAAGGAGCTGTTAGAAGAAATGTCCATTTTTGAACGGGATTTTCTTGATTTTACGGGGAAACTTCAGACCGATCAGAGCCTGACCTTAGACACGCCATTATTCTTGCAATTTTATAGGATTTTAGAAACAGATCCCAGCCCGAGTATAAATGAATTTCAAAGTGGTTTCCAATACACAACCGGTCTCATAACCAAGCAGGCTACATGTATTATTTCCTGGAAACGTAAGATGGGTGGCATGTACATTTAATTAATAAATTAATTAAAGGTATGTGATTACTGATATAGAGTGTGTTTTGTTTGGAGTCAGTGTGCTCTATGAATACATTTGGTTTAATAAACTTACATTTGGGTAACTCTAGAACAGGGGTCTCCAACCTTGGCCACTTTAAGCCTGGCCGACTTTTAACTCCAGAATTCCCCAGCCAGTAAAGCTTCCCCAGCAAATTCTGAGAGTTGAAGTCCTAAAGGCTTAAAGTGGCCAAGGTTGGAGACCCCTGGTCTAGATTATACTGTTTACATAAACCAGAGGTCTCCAAACTTGGCCACTTTAAGACTTGTGGACTTCAACTCCCAGAATTCCTCAGCTGCCAAGTTTGGGGACCACTGACATAAACCATGGGTTATGTGTGCCAAAGGTGAATATTTCAGTTTCCCTGCACTGCACTGTTGGTCTTTTCCCCAGAATTGTAATATCACAGTTAGCCAGTAGATGGCATCATCTCTTTATGAAAAGTTGCCCTTTGAAGCACCACTTGACTATCAGGACAAAGACAAAAATAACTCTTTTTATTTCAGACAGAATAAATGATCCTTAACCAAACAGAGCAGAATTTATAGCTGTGACTTAGGAGTCTCCTTAATAGATCAATTTTTGCTTATTTTATTTTTCTATGGCTATAAGTTGTTGGAAGGTTGAGCCCTATACTTGTTCTTCAGAATGAGAAATGGAAATACTGAATTTGGTAGGCTTGATCCATGCTAGGAGATAAAGCACTCTGAATCCATCCATGTTTGATCACTTTTGTGTAGTCCTCAGCCTTCTGTATTGGAAAGTCCAACCTTCTCTTACTGGGAAATCAACTGCAGAGAATTCTAGAGGAAATAGATTGTGTAGATCTTTTTCAGTTGGGATTTAATCCCATTCATAAAACAGAAATAGCATTTGTTGCTCTTGAATGACCTTTATCATGACCTATATTGGGGAATATGCCCATCCTGATCCTATCGACCTCTTAGCGGTGTTTAATAACTACTACTCAACTACTTCTGGATATCTACAAGGGTTGGGGGCATTGTTTAAAGGTGGATTGTTCCAACCTAAACTGGTAGTTTCAGCCAGTATTTGGAGAAGAAGCTTGATCCCATATGTAATGGGGGTTCCATGGGGCTCATTCATCTCCCCTGTTGTTTATGAAACCACTGAAAGAGGACATCCATCATCCATAGATGACATCTTATCAGTGGTGGGATTCAAATTGTTTTACCACTGGTTCGGTGGGTGTGGCTTGGTGGGCGTGCTTTGCCTAATGCTGGCGCAGCTTTCCCCACACCAGCTGGGACCTGCAGCGCCAATCAGTTGAGAGGATAAAGAAGAGAAAAACGCAGGAGTGGGTAGGAGGGCCAATCCTGCACTTTTCTTTTTCCTCTCAGCTGATTGTCGGCTTTTTGACTACTGGTTCTGCTGAACCAGTCCGAACTGGTAGCATACCACCACTGCATGTTACACAGTGTCACCCTGGTCCAAGCCAGAGATATCATAAATATCCTAAATCATCATTTGAAAATGGTGAGGATAGGAACAGTGAATAACAAGCACAGCTCAAATCTTATCAATAGGTGATCCCATATTAGCCCCAATACTTATTTTGGATGACATTGTGCTCCTCCTAAAAGAAGTGACTTGTCATGTAGAAAGCATGAACAGAAGAGTCCTTCACCTAGTTATGACAATACTTAGAACAGAATACCTTAGACTGAACACATAGTTTTTATTATTATCATTACAGTAAATGAAGGCACAACGAAAGATTGCAGCTTACTTTCCACATCCCCAATAAATGTTTGTGTCACCTTTTATAATGCACAGCTATAAATGAGAACGTTAAATTGGATGTTAAAGAAAAATATGAACTTTTTGTCCCTAAACACAAGCAAGAATTTTTCATCTGCCGGAGTTAGAGATAGAAAGTCTTTCCTATTAGCTATCTTTTCCTTTCGTGTTAATTATTGATATTCATTGTCTGCGCAGCACCATGATATATTACATGGGATCCAGGAAACCCTAGATTTTCCTTTTTCCAAAACTTCTATTCCCTTCTTGGAATATATTTGTAGATAATCTTTTTATTCTGATTGTAAATTTTGGAGCCTGCCTTTGAAAGACTGCTCATGCCATATTTGGAATACAGCTGTAGAATTATAAACCATCTATTTGATCTGATGTGATTTCTAGCTGAGTCTAATACTTGACAAACTGAAGTCAAATAAGAGGATCCAGTCATGTCAGAGAGTGTGTGAGGCTCAGAATAAAATGTTGCTTAGACTTATTGCTATTACCGCATAAACAAATTAATACTTTTCTGAACACTTCTTGGCAGAGCAATTCTAAATTATGACTATATAAGAGATCTGTTCTTATGACACAGGATAGTTACTATGTCCAATTCACATTCAGACTGCCAAAAGGACAAAAAATACAACTAAAAAATATAAAAATGTTAAAAAAAATCCCCAATAGTGTGCCCATGGCACTCTGGAAATACTGGCTGAGAACATCTTTTCCAAAATCTTTAGAAATCTGTTGTTGCTACTGAGAAAGACCAAGTGAATTCATAATAGTGGAATGTGCTTCCAGAGTAAATCCATCTATCATCAGACTCATAATTACTCTGTCTCATACTATGTGTAATGCATGTGAACAAGAAGCAGGACATGGCATCCAGCACAGCAGTGACCAGACTGCAGAGAGCCTGCTCGGCCTTCTTGGCACATGAATTCAAAACTCAAGCCAAATACTGACTTTGACAAGCAGACCAAGGAGGGGTTAAAAAATTATAATATATAGTGACAGCCTTCTTGAAAAGTTCACAGTCCAGGGTTTGCAGAGGAAAATAGAAAAGAACATCCTGTGCAATGGGAGTAGCTACACACAATTTGTCTATTGCCGGGAGGGAAGTGACAAAAAAGACACTGCCAACTTTCCCAACATGCCATATGCCTTTGTGGGCTACTGGTCCTTTTAAAATGCTATTTTCTGGCAGCTGTGCTCTCAATACATTTGGAGGTTTCCAGATCAAAGAAGCAGATCTAAAGGCATTTTCTTAAAAAAAATTAAAGTTTCCAAAATGGATTGGAAGAATTCATCTTGTTGTAATGTCATGGGTTCTATTCACTGCATGTACAGATAGCATACAATTTTTTCCTCTGTAAACCATCCAATTTCAAAAAAGAGTATGTGCTTTCTGGAGAAGAAAACCAAATCACAATGTTATTGCAAGGGATTTTTTTTGGAAAAGCATGGAACAAAGTATGGTTGAGTATTGAAAAGGCTGTCTGAGACATGAACTAGAAAAAGAGGCAGACAGATCTGGCTGAAGGTCAAAGCAATGGAAAGAACGATCACGCAGGGAATGAACCATTTGCAAAACAGCAGAGCAACTCTTTAAGGTATTTGGAAATGTGGTGGAATCATGCTGGTAGCAGCAAGTACAATTTATGTTAGAGGAAGCCTCACTCAGTGAATATACATTTTGTGAGAAAGAAAACCAGGTAGTTCTTGACTTACGATGATAGTTGGGACCCAGAATTTCCATTGAATTGAATTAAATTGAGTTCTTTATTGTCATTGTATACAGTATACATACAACAAAATTCACATAACACCCAGAGATCAGACTCAACATGCACACACATGCCATTCCCAAACACCTCCCCACGTGCCAAAATTCTCCGCCTCCTAAAAACACACAAGCATCCACACAACAGACCAAGTAATACTGTTGAAAAGCTCATTGATGGTGGTCCTTAAGTTCATTGTTAAGTGCAATTATAGCTCTGGGATAAAAACTGTGGTCTGAGTTTTAATGGTTCTGTATCTTCTGCCAGAAGGCAACAGTTCATAAAGATTGTAAGCAGGATGGGAAGAATCTCTGAGAATGTTGTGCAACTTCCTCAAACAGCGAGATGCAAAGATGTCATCCAGGGCTGGTAGCTGAAGTCCAATGATATTCTGTGCAGTTTTAATGATTATCTGTAGAGCCTTTTTGCCTGCTACAGAGCTGCTCCCATACCATACAAGAATGCAGTATGTCAGGACACTCTCGATGGTGCTGTGGTTGTAGGACAGAAGTAGATACTGAGATTTATCTTCCTGAACATTCTCAGGAAGTACAGCCTCTTCTGTGTCTTCTTTACAAGCATATTAGCATTCATAGTCCATGAGAGCTCCTCCAAGATATAAGTGCCCAGCAAAGCAGTTGTTGAGTTACACCCCATTATATGACCTTCTTTTGCCCTGGTGTTAAGCAAATTCATCACAGTTGTTAGG